GATCAATATTCTCACCCAGTTCCAAACATGCTATTTACAATGTGTTAATTGGTGCTGCTTCTTCTTCGGTTGTCAGCAGCTAATGGCCAGCCACAGGGATGTAGCCAGTCTTTCCCCTGCCGGTTTGGACGGCTTTCCTTGGATTGAACGGAAAGACTGCCATCTCTCTGTGATCAACAAGGCACCCCTCCTCATCGCCTCTTCGGGGCAATTTTAGGCCCCCAGCAGGGCAAAATTGGGCGCAGAAGGCAGATCCCTACCTTCCTGCATCCCGTCTCGCCATGGCGCAAAACTGGAAGTCTATTCTGCTGTATTCTTAATCACCTTACAGAGAGATTGAGTGGGAGTGAGACTTTATAGATAAAAATTTCTCTCCCTGATCCTACTCAAGTTTCTGAGCCCAAACAAGTAGGGTTCTGTAATTTTAGAAAATAAATTTACTCCATAATGATTAAGAAGACAAAAGGTCCATTAAAAGCATTTTATCTCAGGAAAATGTCCAGAACATGTACATATTCTCATGCATGATACTACAAAATTTTCGATGGTACTCAAATATGGGATGTTTCTAATAAGGATTCATCTATCATAGTATAGTACTTTCTTTAGTACTACAGTACTAAAATTCCTGTTGACATGACCTGGGCAAAACGATGCTTCATATGGCAACCATTTTTGAATCAAAGTATCCCAGATGGATTAACATACACAATGCGTCCAAAATCTGGGCCCCATGACTCCTGTGGAATTGAAATTTGGCAAATTTTATAAACTTTTATTACATACAAATTATCAAATACAAATTTTATGACATAATACAAAGTCTCAAAAAAACAGTCCCTGTGGTCCACTCCTGATGTTTGTGTTATATAGTTCAACACTGATTATTTTCATTCAACACTGATTATTTTCAAGGCAGATACATTTCTGGATGTATCCCATTTCCAAGGCAGTATATGAGAAGCTCTGCCACTCCTGAAGGCATTGAGAAATCTGGTAAGGACATATCTCTGAAACAACCCAACAGATCATGGCTTGTCTATCATATTTATAATACTATTTTATGAATCACATTCACTCAAATATATTTATTAACAGGTGGTTCACTAGGTCACCCTACACATAGTAGAAAAGGAGTCTGAAAGTGTGAGATCTATCAAGAAGGATTTGCAAAGGAAATCAGATTATAATCAGAGGTATTCGGGAGTCTATGACGGAAAGGTAATTACTGTAGTGTTAAAAGATGAAATCTGATAATTATTTATCACAAATACAAATATTGCTAAACCAGCAATGTAACTTTCATAATTCAGTAAGTCTTGATAGAATCATTTTACATATAATAATAGTTAAACCTTATTTTCCATGAATGATGATTCATGAAACTTTTACAAAGTGTTCTTTTTTGCCCGGGGCTATCTTGAGTTCCAAGTTCATATATATGCGAAAAAGATAATTTTTGCAGCAAAAGGTATACTTTAATTCTTCTAAGCATGTCTCACAAAACACACAAGGCAAGGTTTGTCATCGTTTTGTAAAGGGGTTTGCTGAGGAGGAGAAAGTGGAGATTAGAATCATATAATTGTATTTTTGTGAGTTGTTTTGTTCTGTAACTGCTCTTAATTACTAACACTAAACCCAGGATTATTCTTGGTTTTAATATGCTTCTTGATAACAAAAGGTAATATCTGGCTTGTACCAGATTTATCTGCCTAAATGTTTGCAATCTTATGTTAAACAAAATGCAAGCAGGAGGTCTTGTTATCCTATCTTCAGAATCAAGATCATGGCACAGGGCTGATTCTTGGCACATACACACACACACCCCTTCAAAGCATCATAAAAATGTCTGCTGAGAAGACACTCTTCTCCATTTCCACACTGGAGGTAGTCTATCTTGCATGATAAGAGGGGACTTCCTTGATGTAGTACACTTAATGGCCTCCCAATGGCATGACCTTCCAGAAGATGTCACCTTGGCTTAAGGAACCAGGTGGAAATCAAGACAACTGTTGGGGCTTGTTAAGTGCCGTGGAGTGTGTATTTCAGCTGGTTCATTCCGTGTTCCAGAATCGTTTAGTTCATTGCAGGACTTTTCTGAAATTCATGCTGGATAAGCTAATTAGGCTTACTTCATTTTGTATGCTAAAATAAGTAGCAGCTACTGTAGCTCTAAGCTGCTCCAAGCAGTGCCACATCAAAGCCAGAACCAGATGTGTCCACAAGGTGTAGTTTAAAAAGTTAAGATGGCACACAATTGTGCTTTTGCAGCAGCCATCTTGACTTCAACCCTGTGGATACCCTGCGCCTGCACCTATAGAAATAACTGGATCAGTCTGTCTGAGCAAGGGAGATTGCCTTTCCAAGTCCCATTGCTGTCAAGATGGCACACAATTGTGCTTTTGCAGCAGCCATCTTGACTTCAACCCTGTGGATACCCTG